TCCCCAATCGTTTCACTATATTCACTACTAGTTTGTACACGAAATAAGATTGTTTGACATGGTATTTTATTTGATGGAACATATTTTTCTGCCAGTAATAATTTATTATGAAATCGTTTTGCAATTAAAATTATATTATCTATACCAATATTGATTGTTTTATCAAGAATTTCAGCTGCAAATAATAAACGTGCATCATATGATGGAAGATTTGCTAAATCTGATAGTATCTAAAACAAAAAACGAGAATAAAACAATCTTATTATAATTCAATCTTACTTTCTTTTGATCTAAATTTGGAATAAATTGTTGTAGAAAAGCATAAAGCTACAAAAAAAAACATTAATCATAGAATGTATTAATATAAGTTAAAGAGAAAAACCGACATACCACTGCAGCTTCAGCATGATTAGGTTCATTAAATTTTGTTCTATATTGTTTGGTATGTGTCGCAACGTATGAATGGCTACCATCAAGTAATAAAAGTTGTGCTATCGATGGAAGTTGTAAAGCAATTTCAACGGCAATACAAGCACCAAACGAATAACCACCAATTAAATATGGACCAGTTGGTTGTGTTTCAACGATTTTCTAAAAAAAAAATAATAGATAAAATTATCAAAAGAAACTTTTAATATCTACTTTGATGTAATATGCAGCAATATCTTCAATAGATGTATTAGGTACATCATTAGTTGATTGAAGTCCAAATACAGTAATTGGTAAACGTTGTGAAAGTTCTCTTAACATCTCTACATGACCTTCAATAGGATGAATAAGAAATAAATGTTGATGTTTATTTGATTTGACTTTTTCATTCAATAAAACCATTAAATCTTTTGGTAATAATTGACTAAGATCAAACGATGATATTGATGATGTTTTTTTAGTTTCTGTATTATTTATTGTTGTTGTAGTTGTTGCTAATACAGATGAACTTGAATCAATTTCTTTCAAACGTTTTATAGTTAATTGTTGAATTTCTTTTGAATTAGCTAATGATATTGAATATTTTTGTTCAAGTAATTGTTTTATTTCCACACTACCCAATGAATCCAAACCAAGATCAGCTAATGTACTATCTGAAGACATTGTACTTGCATCAGATATGCCAAGAATATTGGCAATGATTTCAATTAGACTAATTGATGTTGTTGATGATCCCGATGTTTTTTGTAATTTTTCAGCAAGAACATAAGATGATACAACAGGTATATTTGTAGATTGTTGAAGAAAATAATCTATAGTTTCTAAACAAGACGTCATTCGTTGTGGTAATGTACCACCCACAACTGTATCATTTGAACCTAAATTTTCAATAACCATGCCAACATCTCCAATAGCACCCCATTGAATTGCCAGAGCTAAAAGAAAATAACAAAATTATTAGTTGATAAAGTAAATTTCTTTATTTTTTTTTTTTTGTTATTTTGTAATACCTGGTAAACCATCTTTTTGTCTTTGTTCACAAATACGTTCCATAGTTGAATTAGCATAACCATAATTAGTTTGTCCAGCATTACCACGTCCACAACTAATTGAGGAAAATACAACAAAATAATCTAATGTTTTTTGTGAATATATCCTTGTATATTTATCTAAATTTTTTGTTCCATTATATTTAATATCAATCACTTGATTAAATAGATCAATTGTTAAATTTTCAAATAAACCATCTTGTAATACAGCAGCTAAATGAAATATTCCACCAATTGGTAATGAACATTGACTAATTAATTCTTCACATTCTTTTTCATTTGTTATATTTAATTTAGATATTAATATTTTTGCTTCAAAAAATGTTTCTAAATATGTTATTTTCTTTAATTGATATCCTGTACGAATACCACTACGAGAACAAAGAATTAAATTTCGTGCACCACGTTCAACAAGCCATTCAGTTAATTCTAAACCAAAACCACCAAGACCACCAGTTATTATATAAGTTTTATTTGGTGAAAACCAAGTTTTTCGTATAGCACGAATCAATGGTCGAGATTCATCATATACCTAATGAAAATAAAAACATACAATATCAGAAACGTTAAATATTCATGATTAAGAATAACTTCTAGAACTCATTTTTATCTTTAGTAGACGTCTGAGATCATAGTCACTCTATATTCTGTATCAACCACAAGTCGTATTAGTAGCTCTCCTCACACAATGCATTTTAATTATATCGTTTATTCTAGATGCATTACTTAGGCAATGTGTTGTATTAAAAGAATTAGCTTTTGTTAAAAAATTTCCTCAATATATGGCTGATCTCTGCAATTATATAATAGAAATAAAAAATATTGAATAAACATTAAACAATGTATTTACTTTAATAACAACTTTTCCCATATGTTTTCCTTGTGACATATAACGAAATGCTTGTTCTATTTCATTGGCATTGAATACATTACTGTGTAATGGTTGAACAACACCATTTTGAATACCTTGTTCAACAAGTTGATGTACACGTAACCAATCATCATTAGCATTTTCAAAAAGTGAATCAAGTAAAATTCCATGAAATGTTGTATTTTTAAGAAATATACTCATGCCTAATGGATTATTTTGTGATAAATCAAATTTACCAATTTCTAAAAATCGACCATGTTGAGCAAGTAAACGAACAGATGCTTGAAGTTTATCTTCAGCTAATGAATTAAGCACAATATCAACACCTTTGCCTTTTGTAACGAATCGTATTTGTTGTTCAAATGTTGTATCACGTGAATTAGCAATATGTTCATCATTTAAACGTGGAAATAATTTTTTAAGATATTCACGTTTTTCAATTGAACTAACTGTTGTAAATACTTCACAATCATAACTATAAGCAATAGCTATAGCTGCTGTACCAACACCACCTGTTCCAGCATGAATAAGAACTTTTTCACCATGTTTTAATTGACCACGTACAACAAGTGCATAATATGCTGTTGCATAAACAACTGGAATTGTTGCTGCTTGTTCAAGTGTCCAATTATCAGGTACATACCATGAATAACGTTTATCAATTGCAACTTTTGTAGCAAGACCTTTAAGTAAAAAAAGTTAAAGGTTTTTATTCTTATGAATATCTCAAATTTTACCTTTAGCTGATAAAAGACCCATAATTCGTTGATCGGATGAATCCAAACCAGAAAATTCAAGACCCAATAAACAACCTTGGAGTTTTAAGTATCCTTTAACAAGAAAGAATTATTAATAAAAAAAAGAAAAGTAAATTCAATACTATTCGACTTACCTGGTATTGCTTCTGGACTTAATTTTCCTGTAGCTAAACGAAAAAAGAAAAAGAAAGAAATTTCACAACCATACATTTTATTTAAAATTTTGTCTATCTTGGGACATATTTCTTTATTCTCCTTTTAGATTATGTTTAACAAAATGATCTTACCTAACATAATATCTCGAAAATTAAGTGATGCATAATGTACAGTACATGTATCTATATTAGGATCATTTGTATTGGTAGTCGTTATTATAGGTGATTGTAACCATGTAAGTGATGATAAATCACCACGATTTAATACATTAACATGAGCATTATCTGTTTCAATCCATGTTGAATCTATACATAAGAAAACACAAAATAATAATTGAAATAATCATTTTTTTTTTCTATTCATTGTTATATACCATTCGATGTTCGTAAATGTCGATGAATATATGATCCCCATACACCATTTTGATAGACATTAACAGCTAAATCTCTTGTTGTTAATGTTTTGAATACATTTTCATTGAGAACATGTTCAGAATCTTGAATATGAATGCATCTATAAATAAATAAAAAACTTATTATTTATTTATTCAAAAATAAATTATCTTACCGAAGTAATTGTCCACCTGGTTCACGTCTTAAACAATTAAAAAATCCAATAATACCATTATCTATTTGATTAGAAAGAAGCCAAATACGTTGTGATGAAGAATTTGATAATAATGTTTTAATTTGATCAATCCATTGAAAATTTTTTTCATCTATATTAACAATAGTATCTTTAAAATTTTCATTCGATAATTTTTTCCATAATTGATAATTTTTTCGTGTTACTATTTGAATAAAATTATTAGTTTGTAATTGTTTTGTTGGTATATTAATATCTGATGAAAAAAGTATAAAACCATTTGATTTACATATAGAAAATAATTTTTCCCAATCATAAGTATTAGTTTCAGTTTTATTAACAATAACTAAATCAACTGTTGTTGTTGTTGTTGAAGATAAATTTTCAACTAAATTAATTTTTTTATTTATTTCATCAATTGATAATGATGTAACAAGTGTATATTCAAGTGATTTAATAGATGGTTGTTGTGAATAAAAATTAAAAATTTCTTCACTTAATTTTTCATTTCCAATTTGACATAAAGATAATGTTGTTGTTAAATTATTTTCAAGTATTAAATAAAGACATGTTTCAAGTTCATTGATAATATTTTCATTATCAAATGGTACAAATAAATATGATTCAAGTATTGTATTTTGTTGTTTATTTTTCTTTGATGTACCTGTACAATGTAAACCAAATAATTCAATACCACCTGAAAAACAAAGACTATTCCAATAATCAACATAAACAGAACATGTTGATGTTAATGATGATATTGATTCTAAATGAAATTTAGGATCAATACGTAATGAATCAATACGTGTTGGTAATTGTAAACCCTGTGATGTAATAAGATGTACTTGTAACATTGTATCAATATATGATATCCAATCATTATTCCATTTTAATTCTCCATATGTTCCATCAATATTTATTTGATTAATACCACGAAATAAACCAGAATATTCATAACCACGAAGATTAAAATCTCGATAGATTTCATTTGTTTGTAAATTTTTATTTGTATCATCGAATTTTATTTGTTTATGAAATTTTTGCATTTTTAATTGTTCACTTAATGATATACGACCAGTAACAATAATAGTATTATTTTCAATAATTTCAAATGTACCATTTGTTGGTAAAATATTAACATAAAAAATAATTTTATTTGTTAATGAACATATTGTTGCACGATGTATTTGAACTTGTTCAAATAAAACTGACATTTGACGATAATCTTCATAATTATGTAATTTAGCATATGTTTTCCATACTAAAACAAGATAACCAGTTGCAGGAAATAAACAACGACCATCAATTTGATGACCAATTATAGTTGAATATTCACTACCATCATTAAGATCTATTTCATGTTTAGCTTGTTGTGTTGAACCTAATGATTGTGTAAACATTTCAAATGTTGGAATTTTCCATTGTTGAGAATGATCCCATTGAGAAGCAATTAATGAAGATATAAATGGAACATTAACGGGTACTGGATATTGAACTGGAGCATAATTTGACATAATATTTAAATTAACACCTTCATTGTAAAGTTTACCTAAATAAAATTATTAATGAATGTAAACATATTTAGCATAATGATCAAAAGATTCACAGAAAGTAAAATGAATTATTCGGATGTTGGAAAAGTATTTGTATTTATATCGAGTATATCTTTTAACATTAACCTTATTAGCAATATACGCAACTGAGAAGATTTGAAGAAGCACAAAGTCATTAATTTATTTATAATATATTTTCATTATTTAAAATACTCATTCGTTCATTTACATAAAAGTTGTTAGTGAAATTCTTATAAGATTAAAATATGAGACTTCAAAAAACTGTTGCTAGGCAAAGTGGCTGTTACAAAATACATAGCAGCCATGATCTCATGTATTGACAAAAAATGAATATGATTTCTAAAGATTATTCTTAATTATCAGTGTTTGATATCTGGAGAAACGTATTTTATACGAAAACGGCATCTGACCAGAAGTAACTTTAGATCGAGTTTTACTAAAGTAAAAACTATTTCTCATTACGATTTGTAACACTTTCAAAAAACTAACTTTTAATAGTTAAGAAATTTTCTTTTTTTTTTTGTTACCTAAATTCGAATAAAAATATGCAATATGATCATGTGTACCACGTTTCATTAAATTTAAATGTACACAATCAGTACTTAATGATCGTTTAAGAATAGCTAATAGAAGACAATGTGGTGCTAATTCAATAACAATAGCATTTGATGGAATATGTTGTAATGCTTCTTGAAATAAAACTGGACTACATAAATTATTAACATGATAATCAGGTGATGATGTTAATGCTAATGGTGTATTCCATTGATTTTCTGGTACACTTGATGAAATCCATCTTGATGAACGTTGTTTAGATGGATTAATAATAACATTTTCTAAACATTTTTTTAATAATGGTGCTATTTCTATCATATAATGTGAATGAAAAGCAACTTGATTACAAGCAACTTCTTTAGCAAAAATTTTTTTTTCTTTAAGTTCTTCAACAAATTTTTCAATGCTTTCTTTAGGACCTGATACTGTTACAGTATCAATTGCATTATGACATGCTGGTGCTATATCTGATGGACACATTTGTTTACATTCATTCCATGTTAAACCAACAGCAGCCATACCACCTTGAAAATTACAAAAGAAAAAAAAATTTTTTTAGATGATAAAAAAAAAACAACGAATTATTTACCAGCTGGAAGATTTGCTTCTTGAATACATTTACCACGAAAATAAGCAGCTAAAATTGTTTCTTCAGCTGTAAAACAACCATCAGCATAAGCACAACCTAAGGAAAATATCTCATTTTTTTTAAAAATTTTTTCTCAAAATAAATTCAATTTTTGTACCTAATTCTCCAACACTATGTCCAACAATACCATCTGGTTCAACACCCATAGCTTTTAAACAATCAACTAATGCAATTTGTATAGTAGCAATACTAACAAAACTATTAAGTGGATGATCAAGATCACGTGGTGTTGATGATAAAATAAGTTTAAATAGATCAATATTATATTTTTTAAGTATAATTGAACTTCTTTCAATTGATTGACGAAATAATTTTAATTCCATTAAATCACGTCCCATACCAGACCATTGTGTACCCATACCAGAAAATACAAACCATACTGGTCGTTTTTCACTATTACATTTCTGAAAATGTAAAACTGAAAACTTAAGAAAAGAAAATGAAATTATTTACTTTAATTATTGTTGATGATTCTGATGAATTTAATAAGGTAAAACCACGATATGGATGTGTATGTGATGGATGAAATGAATTTTCTGTAATTAATGCTTGTAATTCAATATTATTTTCATATTCTTTTAAATGTTTAAGAATATTTTCACAACCATCACTTGTACGAGCACATGCAAATGCAATACGTGTTTCATTTCGTGATATATTTTCATTCTGTTTTCGATTTGTATTTGCTTCAAGTATAGCATGAACATTGGCACCACCAAAACCAAATGAATTAATTGACATTAAATTATTTGGTAGTCTTAAAATAGATATTGAAATCATCGATAATTTTTTTAGCTAAATCTTACTTTGTTTTTTCTGTTACAACTTTAAGACGACCATCAGTAAGACCTGGTATATCTGTATTTGGTGAATTATAATGTAAATTAGCTTGAAAGAAAAAGTATAAATGATTAAAAAAAAAAGCGAAAACTAAATTTAAATATTTTTACCAGGTATATGTCCATCTTGTATAGCAACAAGTAATTTTGCTAAGGCAGCAACACCTGAAGCTGGTTCTGGATGACCCATATTTGATTTTGTTGAACCTATTAATAATGGTTGATTACGTTTACTACAAAATACTTCTGTAATTGAATTCATTTCTTGTGGATCACCTAAGCAAAAACCAAAATAAATGAATCTAAATAAATCATTTTAACAAAAAAATTTCTGTTAGCGTACCAGCACGTGTTCCTGTTCCATGTGCTTCAACATAACCAATACAATTTGGATCAAGATGAATTTCTTTATAAATATTTTCAAGTAAATTTTTTTGCATTTCACCATTTGGAAATGTAATACCATCCTTTTTCCAACCATCGGTATTGGTTTTTGAATGTAATAATGTTGCATATAAACGTTTAGCATCTTGTCGTTTTTGTATAAATACAGTAGCAACAGTTTCTGATCGAACATAACCTGTACCATTTGAATCAAATGCACGACATGTACCATCATTTGAAAGCATTTGTAATTTAAGAAATTGTACTGAAGTTTGAGGACGAAAACAAAGGTTAACACCACCAACAATGGCAGCATCACATGAACCATTTCGTAGTGCATTTAAGGCACAATCAAGTGCTAAAAGACTTGATGAACAAGCTGTATCAACAGTATAAGATGGTCCTTTAAAATCAAAAAAATAACTAAGACGATTGGCAAACATTGATGTTGCACAGCCAGTCATACTATAACCTTCAAGTGTTTGAGGATCGGATGAAAAAGCATTTTGAGCATCTGAACCACTTGCACCAATAAAAATACCGGTCTTCGTACCTTTTAATTTTATTGGATTGATTCCAGCATCACATATACTTTCATATGTTACTTCAAGTAAAAGACGTAATTGTGGATCCATATTATGTGCTTGTTTAGGATGAACATTAAAAAATGCAGCATCAAATCGATCAACTTCTTTTAATTTTCCATTACGTGTAGGAAGACCATATTGACCTTGTGGCCAACGACGATCATCAGCAGTAACCATATCAATACCATTAAAAAGATTATAAGCAAATTCATCAATAGAATTTGCTTCTGGAAATCGACCACTAACACCAGTTATAACAAAATCATCATTTGCATTTGATAATAAATCTGGATAATGATAACCATTAGTATTAATATTATCAGACGTGGGCAACGGCATGTTTAGTTTTTATCTGAAAAAAAAAACAATGAATAAAAAAAAAACGAAAACTGTATGCCTATATATAATTAATTTGTTTTTCTTTTACATTCTGCTTGAAACACGTCTGTCGCTATCTTGGAAACCGATAAATAAACGAAAAATGAAAAAGAATGTACTTGTTTTTAGTACATATTTTGAGGGTTAAGTAATGCACGATTCTTTTCTTTTTTGTCAGTCATCAATGTCAGGTAAACAATTTGTTGTTTGTATTTTTAAGTATATTTTAAAATATAATTAAAACATACTCTTCTCTATTCCTTTTTGCGCACTGATAGGTCATTAGAGTGCGTAGGTTATCTATTATCCAATGGAAAAATAAATAAAAACAAAAACGCGCTTCGTCACTATTGCGTGCTCTTCAATGAATCAAAGAAATAGAAAAAAGACAAATGACAGCTTTATCGGACGAGCCTAACTTTTCGATTACGTGCCACATTAGTTATTCGTTATCTGTCGATTAGATGCTTTTTGTTTAAATAAACAAGAATCTTTAATCTAGTTTCAAGACGTTATATCACTCTACAACTTTTCTCTTCATAGTTACGTTTACTTACTTACATTCTCGAATGTGCTCTTCTTTTATTCTTTGAATCGAAAAATAGAAAAAGAAGTGAATTCAAGTGTCTGATTTTTTTTTTCGTATGTTTACATAGAAAATATATATAATGCGCAATAAAAAATACACAGCAACCTATTCACTAAAAAAATTATTATCAAGCAATCAATAAATATATTAATATTTTTCATTCATGATTAAAAATAACAATAAAAAAAAAAAAGATTTAAAAAAAATTAATAATATAAATTAAATAAATTAAAACTCTATTAGCACCATCTTGATCAAGTATACCTTGATGTATTTATTTTAGCATCATTGATAAATTCGTACTATCTTTGAATATGCATGAACATTTATTCTCATATTATTTTTATTACCAAATACACTTTCCATTTAACCTACCTATCTCATGAATTCTATAAATTTCGAACATTTTACTATTAAATTTACAATAGTTATAATTCAATGATAAATAAATGAAATCATATACTCTTATCATTCATATTTGACATAATATATTTGATTTTTTTTTAAATATATCTGCAATAATTTTTCATTACTTTTTGAAAGACATTCGATACCAAATGCTGGTCTCATTGACTATTAAAACCAAAACCTAAATTACTTTTTTTTCTAAATAAACAAATCATTATTTGTGAAAATTGATCCATTTTGTTTAAATTACGATTGGTTCATATATATATATATCCAGTAACACATATTTACCTATAAACAATCATTTCATGTCCTATTTAATCCAAAAGATACTATAGGAAATATGGTAACTGTCAAACATATTCATTCATGAAACGATCAGTGAAAGATTTGACATGTTTTCTATGACTATATTTCAACAATTGTCATTACATTTTAAAGTGCTCATGTGTTGATCTAGCCCTGAATGGATCATCCAGTAGTTCAGACAAATTTTAGCGGATGATAATGAACACCGTAAATTTTCAGCCTCAACCAAGCTACGACATAATTATCTAACATTTTACCAAGACTTTTGAAATTATCTATATCTTTACAAAAGAAAATAATATTTTGATAAAATTAATAAGAAAACCATAACATACCCAATAATTTACTAAAAAATGATTTAAATTTAAATACTTCAAAATAATCAATATGTTCACTTTGAGAAATAACTGTTTGTTACAACAATACTTAAAATAATCTCTATTTTTTAAATAACAGATATAATTGATGTGTTGTATGCTTCACCATCTTTACCATGGCTATTAAGTTTACTTAAAAATAACTATGTCGACATTAATTTTTCATATAAATACTTCTCTCTAAACGTAAATAAGAATAAAAAATTTCAAAATATTGATAATAATATAAACCCTCTCCCATAATAGAAGCCCCTGGGAGCTTCTAAACTGGCGAGCATTCAAATTTGTTGGAGGGGGCTTCTATTAGGTCCCATGATTTTTCAAAATTTTCAGCTAGCAAAATTTTTCAAAAACGCTAAGGGGTTTTCAGGGTTTTTATGGATTGTTCGAAAGATTTTCGAAGAGATTTTGAGATTTTCATACTGATAAATAAGAGTTTAACACATTTTTACCTTAAAATCTTGCGATTTCTTAAATTTTACTATGAAAAAACTCATAAAAGTTTTCAAAAAATTCTGAAAAATTTGTGAAAATGAAGGGGGCCTTCTAATACGTCTTGCAGATCGACTTTTCCGGAGGGAGCTTCTAATACGGGAGGCGCTTCTATTATGTGGGGAGGGAGGTGTCTTATAATCTACAAACTTGATCAAAGGCAGCATTCATTTTGTAGAATCTCCATATAAGAGGGTATGTGCTTAATTTAAAATTTGCTTTAATTGATCAGATACACTCGCAGAAATCTATAACTAGATTTCATATAATAATAAGAATACTAAAAGACATCTTAAGATAAAATTGTCGAATTGTTGTCTTCTTAGATGTTACTTTCAAAATATTAGAAAGATAAATCATAAAATTCTTCACATTTATGCATGCTTTCTATGTTATATGTTGAATGCAACAAAATTCTTTCGAAGGCTAATAGCTCTAATTTATCTCTCATTCTTTTGTGTTTTACATAATCGCAATGATCTCCATCCGTTTTTCTTTTTCGAAATCCAATATGAAAATAAATATTGTACATGAAAGCGATTTTTCATACTTCAGAAAATGACTCATGGATCATGTTTACTGTTAATTTCTTTGACAGAGTGAGGTCGGTACTATTTTCATATTACATGAGCGATTTCAGATATTTCTATAAAGTACTATTGTGTTTACAAATCAATTAGATTATAAATATCTTTATGATCAAAAATTACGCCGAATCACATAAAATCTACCGACGATAGTGAAGTTTAGAGTGAATGCGTACGAAAAAATCAACTGAATGGAAGTATCGACCGAAGATTGACACATGATATTTTTTTTTGTAGAATTATGACTCAATATGAAATACTTTCTTTCGATGTTTCGATGAAAATGAGTCTTAGAACAGAATACAAATCCCTCATGTAATTTGAGAATACTGAATATAATTAATTTATCATTTTCTAGAGCGTGAAAAACTGCATCAATGTACACTATTTATTTTAATGTTGAGTTTTCAGAAAAAAAGAATTTGCTGTATACAACAAATAGCATAATAAAGACACATAAATGTAAAAAATTTTATGTTTCATTTTTGTAACATACTTAAAGTAAATTCTAAGTTTACGATCTTATCCTATGGTGTCTTTCTTCGGAAGAACAACAGAGAACATTCTATGCAAAGAAGAATCAAAAGTAAACATGATGATTCGATAGAATAATTGACACTCTACTAAGTCGTAATAAGAGAAATTGTCAAATATAGCGTCATAAATCTGTATGCTAAATAGATCTTATCATTCAATGCATCTAATCAAATCTACTTCATTATTTTTTTCTCGATAGATTGATGATTACTAATTCAAAAAGATTATGCCGGAAATACAAACAGATAGAGAAAGCAAGATGTATGACTAGTTATAGCCTGAAAGTATTTCATGGAATGTCAACGCACAAACCAATCAGATATAATTCATTATTTGAATATTAAAGTGTCAGTACAAAACTGTAATAAGTTATTAAGATTGGTTGATAATTAAATAGATTTTATTATTTTATACATTACAACAGATCGATTATTGGCACCATCTATTAATTAAATGAATAAACAAGAAATTTTTTTTTATTTTCTATTTACATGTTGTGGTAATGATTAAGTTTCTAAATGGAAAAATGAATTTATTCTATATAGAGAAATGTATTGTCACCTTATATTCTATACACGGTTAGTTCTCGTTTCGTCGAAACGCTAATTGATTTTCTTGTTTCGTCGAAAATGAAAAAACGACTGTTCTCGTTTCGTCGAAAATCATAAATGAAATGAAAATATAATAAACATAATTAGCTTATCATAAATTCTATGATTCTCTTGAATAGACTTTTAAATAGAATGATACTCAATGAATCTGTTGAAAGAGCTTATTTGAGAAGATTGTAATAAATACACGCATTATATTGAACAAGAAGACATAAGAAAAATCATTCAGAATATTTTAATACCAATTAATCGCATAACTTTTTCAAGATATTCTTCTAATGTTAATATTTAATGTTTAGAATGTGTGTGGGTGTGGGAGTGAATATAGGTTTGAGCGAACAGAATACCCTCATTCTAACGCTCACCCACACTCTTAATCAGTTTCTTTAGAAAAAATATTGCTGAAGACAATCAAAGCAATTAAGCTAGTTGCTTTGATCCTGCTTTTTTCATTACAATTTAATTTTTCGACGAAACGAGAACAGTCGTAATTTTATTTTCGACGAAACGAGAACACTATGAAAAAAGCTCTAACAAATTTTTCGACGAAACAAGAAAATCAATTAGCGTTTCGACGAAACGAGAATTCACCCTATACACAAATGAGTATCAAAAACATCGACTTAAACTGAAATTTTCTAAGGCTATATCGATGTTGCTTTGTGGTTTTACGGTGGCTAATTTAGAGAGTGTGGTCTAAGAACAATATATGCTAAACTCACTATTGTGATTTAGATTAATTTTTGTCATTTGAAAACTAGATATAAGCTACAATGAAACGATGGATTTTCTAAAATGAAAACTTAACTTAAGAACCCATTAGATCATGCTAGAAAATCGAACATTGATTAATAGAACACATCTTTTTTGATCAAAGTTGTCGAAGAAGACTTTCAAATTTATTTCTTTAATTATGAATTATAACAATAAGTTGTCGTGTCGCATGCATAGTAAGATATCTACCTTTAAAAATCAAACGGAAAATGATCTGATGAACCTCTTTGGTTTAAATAGAGATTGAAACGAATCTGAACAACAATCCAAACTCATT